GATCCCAATGCCTGTCTCTCGGGGCGCCTACAGAAAGAACTCCACAGTGGCTGGCTGCCATGGTTGCTGTTGAGATTTGTTTTATAGTCTGTGTGTGTGTGTGTGTGTGTGTGTGTGTGTGTGTGTGTGTGTGTTTTGAGTGTTCTCCAGAGTTTTCTATGTGACAGGATCTGGATTAATCGTGTAGCGTGGATCCCCTCATATAACCTCCCCACGGCCCTGTGAGTGATGAGGGAAAGCTTCAGTTACGACTAATAACATGCTGGTTTGGTCTGACACTCCATTGACAGGCTCAGGAGTCAGAGACCCTGAGTCAAGACAAGCAGCCCCTTCTCTGGTCACGAGTCTGTCCTACTTCCTTTCTCTCAGACCTGGGGCCCGCTGCCCCTCCTGAGACACCAGGCTTTAGACTCTTGTCCCTCTCCTCCAGAGCTTGGCCCCACCCACAGTTCTGCCCTGACGTTGGCTCATGGATCTTCTCACGACTGTCTGCTCTGGGCCCTTCGGGAGCAGGCTCTGCTGGCCAAGATGGGAGCAGCTCAGCAGATTCCTCCAGCCGTTCCTCAGCTGTCTGTGGCTGAAGACACTTCAGTAGCTCCAGGTGAAGAGGGATGGCGCCGTATTCATAACACCTTGGCCCTGGACAGTGCAGGCAGAGCTGGTGAAGCCCCCACTGTCCCTCATAGGATGGGCTATTTGAGAAGACCAAGTAGTCTAAGGCCCAGCCTCTCCTTGAACCTCGGCTTCTATGATAGATCAGTGTAGGCAGAAACGGGAAACCACTCTGTTGTGTCTTACAGGGAAAGATACACTCCAGAGGTTGGCAAGAGCATGGCATTTGAACACCTGGACTGAGGAACCTGGAGTAGAGAGTCCCACTGGTACACAGGGTTTGGAGCTGCCCTGACTCTGGAAGCACAGCCAGGCCTGTTCGGCGTGACCAGGGACCACAGGAAAGACCACCCTCCAGCAGATAAGCGGAGAAGGGCGGGGTTACCTTGGCTCCTCCCACAGATCCAACCTTCCAGCTGAGCAGAGGCCAAAGGGCCTTTTCCTGCAGTTCACATCTGCCAGGGCAGGAAATGAGGCAGACAGGAGCTAGCGACAGCAAGCATGGCTGCAGTTTCTGTGTTCCTTCTTCCTGAGCCACCTGGGAATCCGGACGGCCCCGGTCTGCAGCCGCTGTGAAGAGCTCTGATGCCACTCAGGCTCCAAGGGGACCCAGATCCTGGGGGACTCATGACAAGCACACCCACAGGGGCTTCCACACAGGCGTGTGGCCATTCCTCCTTGCTTTGCGGCAAATTCCCCGCATCTCTTCCCAAGCTGCCCCAGTGACATTACATTGCTGGGCATAGATGAGCCAAGTGCTAGGCAAGTGGATTTATCAGCGTGCCATTCTCTTTCTCAGGGAATCTGGGTGACTAGCTCTCTGGCCCTGTGTGGCCCTGTAGTGAGATCTGACAGAAATTTGACTTCAGAAATAACCATAAGAGGAATGACACAAGAGAAACCGCACTTCCCAGAGACCCAAGGGAGGGAAATTCACATCCAATGAAGGCACGAAACTAGCCTGACATTGGTGGTGGCTCTCGCCTTTAATCCCAGCACTCGGGAGGCAGAGGCAGGTGGATCTCTGTGAGTTCGAGGCCAGCCTGGTCTACAGAGTTCCAGGACAGCCTCCAAAGCTACACAGAGAAACCCTGTCTCGAAAAACAAAAAAACAAAAAAAACCAAACAAACAAACAAACAAAAGAACGAAGCTATTTCTTCAGAGAAGATTCTCCACCCAGGGCAGTCAACCCACATCCAGCCGCAGGTACAAAGGTGGGCCTGCTGTAGACCACATAAAGACTTCCATACAAAAGGGAGGACAAGGCTGGGTATGGCGGTGGCGCACGCCTGGAATCCCAGTACCTCAGAGACGAGGAGGGGAAATTGCTGCAAGCATGGAGACAGCCTGGGTTACAATAAAAAGAAACAAGCAAAAATAACAAAAGGCAAACAAAACCTCTGACTTCTGGATTCTTTTGAAAAGGCAGCCAGTCTGATGCCAGCGGAGACACCCGGATGTAGCAGCAGTTGGCTCGGGGCCAGGAAGCTGCGGGCCTTTGATGTGGTGTGCAAGCTGCAATCCAGTGCAGTCCGCACTCACTATTCTCTAATGTCCCTCGCCCGGCGGGCCTTTCTCTCTGCCTCGCTGGCCCAGCTAGCTGCATAGGCGTTGCAGTTTGATCCCAAAGGTGCCTCCCAAAAAACCTTCATGGATGAATGGAAGGGCCCTGCTGCCCCCTGGTGGTCACAATTCAAACATTTCCTTAATTAGCATCCGCAATACCCCTACACCATGGACACCCTTTCTTTCTGTCTCAATTCTTTTTTTTAAAAGATGGTCTCGTTTAATTCTTTAAAAAATATTTAATTTACCTGTTTTATTTCATGTGTGTGAGTGTTTTGTCTGCGTATATACGTGTACCACCTGTGTGCCCTCAGAGGTCAGGAAAGAGTGTGTAAATTTCCTGTAACCAGAGTTACAGACAGTTGTGAGCCACCATGTGGGTGCTGGCAATTAAACTCAGGTCCTATGCAAGAACAAGTGTCCTTAACTGCTGAGCCATCACTCAGACTCTTGCTTAATTCTTTTTTGTTTGTTTGTTTGTTTGTTTGGTTGGTTGGTTGGTTTTGGTTTTTGAGACAGGGTTTCTCTGTGTAACCCTAGCTGTCCTGGAACTCGCTCTGTAGACCAGGCTGGCCTTGAACTCACAGAGATCCACCTGCCTCTGACTCTGAGAGCTGGGATTAAAGGTGTGCATCCCAAAGCCTACCTTCTTTTTTTAACGTTGTTATTTATTTTTTGAGAATTTTATACAACATATCTCAATCCGACTCATCCCACAGCTTCTCCCACCTCCCTAAGCACTCAATTTCATGTTCTTTTCCTCTCTTCAAAAAAATAGCTGGGCGGTGGCCCCACACCTTTAATTCCAGCACTTGGGAGACAGAGGCAGGCGAATCTCTATGAATTCGAAGCCAGACTGATCTATAGAGTGAGTTCCAGGAGACCTAGAGCTACACAGAGAAACCCTGTCTAAGAAAGAAACTAAAAATTAAATATAAATTAATTAAGTAATTAAAAAAAACAAAAAAGACAGGCATGGTAGAGCATGCCTTTAACCCCGGCACTCAAGAGGCAGAGGCAGTCAGATGACTCCCAGGCCAGCCAGGGCTATATAGTAAGACTTTGTCTTAATAAATAAATAAATAAGATTAAGAAAAACAAAATACCAACCAACTATAGAAACTGATTTGGGGCCGGGCGTTGGGGCACACGCCTTTAATCCCAGCACTCGGGAGGCAGAGGCAGGCAGATCTCTGTGAGTTCGAGACCAGCCTGGACTACCAAGCAAGTTCCAGGACAGCCTCCAAAGCCACAGAGAAACCCTGTCTTGAAAAGCCCCCCCCCCAAAAAAAAAAAGAAAAGAAACTGATTTGTTGGCCAACCATATCTGAGCATGGCTGATATGTCCAGTGTCACTTTAGTGAAGAAAACTGATTCCCTCCCCCTCTCCCTTTGATTTTTCAAGACAAGGTTTCTCTGTGTAGCCCTGGCTGTCTTGGAACTTGCTCTGTAAAAAACACGCCGACCTCAGACTCACAGAGATCCATCTGCTTCTGCCTCCTGAGTGCTGGGATTAAAGGATTGCGCCGCCACCACCCGGCTTTTGATTTTTCCCTCTCCTGACAGCTATCAATTTCAAATAGCTTCTCCGTTGGGGGTGAGACTTTGTGCCCACTTCCCCTCCTCCATGCTGGGACATCATCTGGCAAGGGTCGCTTCAGGTCTTGGGCATGCTGTCCCAGTCTCTGTGAGTCTGAATACACATCTGCCCTGTGTCTGCACCGGGCTTCCTAGTTGGAGATTACCTTTCTCCCGTTTGGTTTTCCAATCCCACTTCTCAGCAAGGTCCCAAATCCATTCCCATCTCTCTCAGTAACCCTCCCTCCCACCGCCCCCACCCCCAACCATGGCCACATCAGCCTTCTCAAATCTCCCCTTGTCTGAGCACTTCTAAGCCTGGTCCAAGAAAGTCCTATGACTCCAATGGCACTGTACCCTGCAGGCCAGAAATCTGTATGACCTTGTATGCCTCCAGCCGGGAGGAGATTTCATAAGGACAGGGTTTCAGTGTTCCTGCACCTTCCGTGACAGTTATCTATGCAATGTGTATTGAACACCTCTAACTTGGGACTCATGACACAGGTTTAGAAGGTTCTGGAAGAAAGTAGCATGTCCTGTCCTTACAGAGTGTAGTCATCCATGGGCACATCAGGCACCTAGCCAGAGCCAGGTGATGTCCCAAAAGCTACAGCCCTAAGCATTTCTCTATTTCTCTCCTCTCCTTTGACAGCGTCACTGGCTCCCATGCACTCTGAAGCTCTCTACCTGGCTGGCTTATCTCTCTCTCTCTCTGTCTCTCTGTCTCTCTCTCTCTCTCTCTCACACACACACACACACACACACACACACACACAGAGTGTTCTATCTGCATGTGTGCCTGCAAGCACCGAATCTTATTATAGATGGTTGTGAGCTGCTATGTGGTTGCTGGGAATTGAACACAGGACCTCTACAAGAGTAGTCAATGCTCTTAACCTCTGAGCCATCTCTCCAGCCCCCAACTAATGCCTCATACTGCCTCTGCCACACCCCTCCATGCCTGCATTCTGGCTTCACAGTATTTCAGTTCTGTGATCTGCTGCCGACACTAGCTTTTGCGTATGCCCTTCTGACCACCTAAGCTCAGGTGCCCACTGGGTATGAGGTCACATGCCCACACTGTGGGTTCAGAAACGACACAGCTCATCTTTATATACTCAGCATCTATGCCTATATCTTAGAGGCACCCAGGGTGTTGACACTCAAATAAACACATGAATGAACAAGGTGCCATTTTCATGTCGAGCAAGACCAGTGAATGAATGGCATACTAGCCAATGGCAAGAGTCAGAGAAAGTCCTTTATTGCCAGGAGTTCATGTCATGCTTATCACGTTAATCAAGAATCCACTCATCTCCCCTTGTATGATACAATCTCCTTGTATCATAAACTAAGTTGGATCTCATAGGGTTAACGAGTTCTGACTTCACTTTGAGGAACAAGGATACCATGTAAACTATCCTTCAACTCCTGGGAGGTTTGTTCCATTCTTAGGCAACTATTTTCGTGAGTATGCACGTGACAGCCCAAGAGTGAAATAAATAAGACACAGTGCAATGGCTCTAGGCATTGGGGGTAAAAAGGCACATTACAGAGTCCCCTGAGAAAACCCAGGCCGCACTCCATCTTCTCAGTATGCCTTCTCTCACTCTCCAGTGACTTTCTTTTTTTTGGGGGGGGGTGGGTTTCGAGACAGGGTTTCTCTGTGGCTTTGGAGGCTGTCCTGGAACTTGCTTGATAGTCCAGGCTGGTCTCGAACTCACAGAGATCCGCCTGCCTCTGCCTCCCGAGTGCTGGGATTAAAGGCGCACGCCACCAACGCCGACCATTCCAGTGACTTTCAATCTCACCCCTGGTCCGAGAAACCATAACCCACATGTACTGAACGCATTTTTATTCCCCTTCATGAGATAGCCTTGGTTCTAAGTATATTTCATTTTTCTCCCTATGCCTACAAGAACATCCAATTTTGTTCAGGTCCCCTTTAATGGCACTTAATAAATACATATTCTGGAACCCGACAGAACAGGCTGTCCTACTTCAAACTGTCTCTCACGCTTCCTGCTTCGACAGCTAGTGCAAAGCTCCTCTGGGGTACAACCTATCTTACTCTTTGCCACCTCTGTGCCCAGGTCTAGCTGTTCACCTCTGCATGTCTAGGGTCTTTAAAGCGGCTGGGTGTGAGATTCACCTGGTTACCTTCCTGAAGCCCAAGGCCATGGCCAGGTCAAAGACATCAGCTTTCTCTGGGTGGGCTCCTGGCTCGCCGCGGTTTAGAGCTACCCAGGTCATTGCAGCAAGCAGCCGTGCTAAGAACCCCCAGCCAGAGTCTCAACACACAGTGAACTGTCAGTAAAGACGTGTGGAAGCTGCAGGTACGGTTCCCGCTGTGTCACCTGTCTGTCTGGGCTTCCTGTTTTCACCAGAAGGCTGAGAAGGAAGCAGAAAGGAAAAGTAAACTGAGAACATCCGTGAGTGAACCTGAGATTGGGAAAGGGGCTGGGGAGTCCTGTGTCACACAGTCTCCGTGCTTTAACAAGCCCAGAGGAGGCACGTTACAGACCATCTGACACAGGCAGGGATGACTTTCTCAAGAGTCCTTCAGGAGCCAGAGGTAACAAGCGGGCAGGTGAGTTGGAAAGCAGATGTAGTCTTGAAAACACTGGGATAGCCACCTGTTTCACACTCTGTCTCAAGAGGGTTGGTTCCAAATCTGTCAGCTGTACAAAGATCACAGGGGATCACCCTTTTCTCTGTCTTGGGATCTTCCAATGACTCTTGGCCTAAAGCAATGGCCTAAGGACATTGCTCAGTAGTGATACACCCAACACTGCCCCAGTGGGTCTGTCATTCTGGAACAGGCTCTAGTTCTGAGGGGCTTCTGTTTCCAGATTTGAGAAATGCCTTGCTCACAAGTATGGACTTTGCTGCTTAGACTGTACTCCTGTTGTAGGCAATAGCTGTGTGTTTGTCATGGTCCCATGCAATTATGTCACCTAGTGATGTCATAACCTTGTTAGTTTGCACACTCCATGGAGTTCACAAAATCTAAAATCTCCTAACATAGTATGTCTCAAGATGTGTCTATTGTTAATCCCTACCGACTGGGCCCCGTGGTAGAACCTGCGTTTACGGGAAAGGGCGCACTGTTAGCATAGACGTAAGAGGAGAGGTGGCAACAGGACTGCTTCACTCTGCTAACCCAGGCTAGCCAACGGCTGGGCCACCCAGACACCACTAGCCATATGTGCATGGTTGTCACACTGCCTGGTTGGCACGGGCCTCTGCATCCTCAGCCTCATGCCATCCTTACTGTGACCTAGTTCTTTCTAGGTGGAAAACTGCAGTCATATCCTATGCCTAAGCCCCCACATCCACCTGACCGCAGCTCTCTGCTGCCTCCAGACCCTCAGAGGCAAACCTAGGCCACCTGGGTTCCCCTGGCTCTTCATCCAGAACTGGGAAACCAAGCTATTCCTCACCTACCCAACCCATCAGGCCAGTAGTCACCTATCTCACAGAGCTTCCACCGTGACTGAGTGTCAAGTCCCGCTGTCTCCCGGTCCAAAGAAAGCAGCAGGATACACCATCAGCCTCACACACCCCGCTGATCCAACTTCAAATTCCCCTCTTCCCTGGAACCACCTCGGGGTTTGTACACACATTCCAGAACTGTGCGTACGTCGTACCTATCCCCAGAGCCAGTAGAGAATCGCCTGGACCCACCACGGCTTCCACTTGAGCAAGATTTTCCACAGCTCCCTATCCATAGTAGTAACTCAACTCAAGGCAGCAAGAAAGAAAAGTCGACCAGTAAGCAACGGTGGCTCCTGGCAGTGCCGTGGGAAGGGCACTACCGAGGCAGGTAGCTCTCCTTCAGGGATGTCCCCAACCGTGTGCTACCCGACACACAGGCGACATTCATCCTAGACATGAGAGAGGCAAGGGGTACAGGTAGGACCAGCTTTGAGCCGAGGCAAGCCCTGGCTGATCAGTTGTGGCGCTGAGATGGCTTCTTTATGCAGACAAGAGTGATAATGCCGGGACCATCCACACCAGGCATTCTGTAAGGCCTTGTCACGACTTCCTGCTGCCTTCTCAACGCCCTCCCCTCCTCTCACCCCCATTCTGCTTTGCATCATGACTGCTAGGTCACACAACCCTGAAGCCTCTCCCTTTCCTTAGGAATGGGGGCTCCAAAGAGGACATGCTAAGAGGACAGACTCCAGCCCCAGGGAGTTGGACTTGGGGTCCTGGCCAGAAAGTTGGAAGGCACATATCCCCTGTGTCCGTTCACTTCCACCAGGCTCCATTCCGGGTTCCCCTTCTTGTCTTGAGCTTCTAGGATTGTTACAGGCTGGCCCGCCTGTAGACTCAGTTCATGCGTGCTCCTGGCCACAAAAGGGTACACTGCCACCACCTGAAACACATGGGAGTGACACGGAAATGTCAGGGTGGCAGACAGCTGAGCTTAACCCACCAAGGCTGTCATCCTATGCTCCCATCATTACACAGCACTCTAGTCTCTGTTGCGGGTCGTACACCACTTCCCAAGAACGTTCCCAGCACTGAAGACACTATGCCTGCCAGCAAGCACTGAAGACGCTACGCCTGTTAGCATTGTAGCTAATAACTCCTGGGTGGCCACCGCTGTTCTAGCACTTTTCTAGGCTTTGGTTTTTACAACAACTCCATCCCTGTAGTTTGTTTGTTTGCTTGTTTCAGAAATTAAGACTTAGAGAAGTCAAGGAACTCCTCACAGTCACAACCATCATATAACTGTAAAATCATACCTGCCTGCTTTCAGAACATGGGCCTTTGTTTGTTGTTTTTAAAACAGGGCTTCTCTGTGCAACAGCCCCTGGCTGTCCTAGAACTCACTTTGTAAACCAGACTGACCTCAAACTCTCAAAGACCTGCCTGCCTCTGCCTTCTTAGTGCTAGGATTAAAGGTGTGCTCCACCACTGCCCAGCAGAACAGGCGTACTTGAACCCCTGCAGTCAAACTGCTAGGTAGCCTCGGTGGCCTCTCCCTTCCCAGATCTAGGGAGTTGGTTTATCTGTCCAGCCCAGTTTCTAACCTAGGAATAGTGAGGTCTGCTCGACAAGGCTCCTTTTTAGGGCTAAGCATTAAACCGGAGAAAACAATAAGAAGGGAGGGCATTAATCAAACTACTGTCTACCGTCTCCATGCCTCGTTCTCATCACCTACAAGTGTCAGCAACAACATGCTACCCTCTGGGTTACCAGGGAAGCAGAATGGATGAGTGCCAGTGCAGGCTTTTTACAGCGCCTGCTGCAGAACAAGGGCCTAGTCAATGCCGCTTGCTCTGACTCTTTACTGTTAGTGTGACTGATGGCCAAGCCTGGGAGCTATAAGCATCATGGGAAGGTACCTGGGAGTCCTACAGAGAATCCAGGAATGGAGAAGGGACAGATGGACCACTGAGATCCTAGGCAGAGCTTTCTGGAGATTCCATCCAGAGCTGGATGATGGGATGATGGCAGCCACCTCACGTTCCTCGTGGGGGAGGGGTGCTGGTAGGCTGGTCAGGTCCCTAGTGGGATTCTTGGGGATTCTACGCAGTCGTTGGTGCGCTGCGTCTGGCTGATACTGAAGCAGGGAGGTGTGGTGGGAGTTATATACCTCCCCTGAAGCTGGCTCTCAGCTGCACGGTGCCGACCCAAGGCATCCCATACCTGTCCTCAGCACCTCTGGGTTCCCTCTCTTGCCCAGTCTTTCTGTCACTCATCTCTCACCTCTGTGGCTCTCCCTCGGCTGCGGGTGGCTTAGAGCAGACTCTGTGATCCTCTACAGTGGGACCTGCTTGGCTTTACTGGTCTACCCAATCCTTCCAAGCCACCCCAAGGGGCTATTTGAGGGGGCCAAGGACCCCAGCCCTGTAAAGCCAGACCCTTCAGTGCACTGGGGACTAAGTACCAGGGCTTGCACAGCCTCAGTAATCTCTCCTGCCCCAGATCTGAAGGGTGATTCTGCCCAGGACAAGCACTCTACCACTGAGCTATACCCCTGTTATACATTCTTTCCTTCCTTTTGATGCTATTCATATCCAACAATATTCATCCCTTGAAATTATACAATTCAGTAGCTTTTAGCATGCTCACCCCTGGCCAGGATAAGAACTTATCACTGGTCACAGCCTGACCTCTCAAGGAGCAGGCCCTTTAATAGTAAAAGAAAACCCAAGTCCTAGTCTAAACAGATGAGGGGGAGTAAGCCCTCAGCCCTCTCCCAGACTCACCTGGGCCGTGGTGGGGACGGTGGGGACAGAGGGTTGGGTGGGCTCTGGAGGTGGAAGCCAGTAGTCTTCATGTACGCCTGTCTGGCCTCTGAGTTCCCTCTCCCTGGGAAGGGTATGGTGGTATGGCTGAAGTTTTCCAGCTGGCACGTATCCCCGGTGTCCTAGGAAACATGCAGAAGGTTCAATGGCTGCCACTCGGTTTCCTGTCCTTTCAGTGGCGGGGAAAGTCAGTAAATGTGAGTGCCTGGCTTCCCAGCTTTAAAGGGACGGCACAAGGCCATCCGGGAACCCTGAGAGGTCCCCACCACCACCCCACTCTGTGCTCACTGCTCCTAGCTGCTGCTTGCTCACCCCGGTGACAGAGGCTCTCCACCGGGACAGCCCACAGGATGAAGTTCATCCCTGGGCCGGTGTGACAACGGTTTCTAATGGTGGCGTTACTGCTCGCGGCCCTCTAGTGGCCACACAGAGCAAGGCAGCTTCTTCCCCAGCTCTCCCGAGAACCAGGCCTGCCTTCTTTCTACTGGTGATGTCCTTCCGGGGTCCTTCTCACCAGCACCTATCCTTGCCCTGCCCAGCTGCTGTCATCACGAGTAGCCATCACTTCCTGCTTCCCAGGCGGTTGCAGTCTTCGCACCAATCTGAGGTCCGTCTGTGTCAGTCACTGCCTCTGTCTCATGCTGATGCAGCTGAGCTCAGAGAAGCCCCATGCTCGCCATGATCACCCAATTAGGAAAGCCCTGGAACTTTACTCCAAAACTACTTATATTGTTTTCCCTTACAGATGTGTTTTTTGATTGTACCACTTTCTATTTTATTTCTTTCTTAAAACTATTATTATTATTTTAGAAGAGGTCTCACTGTATAGTTCCTAAGTCTCTCTACAGAGGTAGGCTGGCCTTGAACATGGGGTCGTTCTCCTGCTTCTGACTCCCAAATGCTGGGATTATAGGTATGCACCACCATACATTGCTCTACTCTGTTCAATTTTTAAAACTGACTTGCTTTTTAAAGCTTGGCCTTATGCCGTGCAATAGTAGCAACACAATCATGAGCTGCATTTTATAATACACATAAAAGTACTTAAGTAACTATTACATCACTGTGAAGCGGCAAAACAACTATCTATAGGTCTCCCACAATAATCCTGTGCAACCCACACGTTTAGGATATGCTGCTGGCTCCCAGTACACATGACCCCCAGACATCAGTGGCACATCCCAAGGCCATGGCCAGTAGAGCTCTTACTGTCCCAGGCCTGAATCAGATTCTGAGAGTGGGGCTGGAAACCAAGCATCCCTTCTCAGCACACAGCAGTGTTCTTCTAGCTCCTTCCACGCACTGTATCACCCAAGAGCTTGTAAGTTCTCTAAGGCTTGTCTTGCTTGCACAGCTCCCAGGAACTGGATGGGAGAGACTACCCTGAATCTTACTGTGTTTCATGTACCACTCACTGTAAACTGATTGAGCTATTGCATCTGTCACTGGGCTCATCACTCCTGAATTTGCATCGCCAGAATGGCACACAAGAGCATCCATGCTTCCCTACCAGCTTCTGGCAACTGGCTTTGCCAAAGGAGATGAGGGAGTTACAGAGGCCGACATACCCCCTGTGTCCACCAGCCAGCGACTGTTGTTGCCTTTGGTATCCTTGTTTTGTAGGACGGCCACGATTTGGCCCCGTGGCAGTGTCAGGTCCAGAGTCGCGGTCCCACTGATGTTGCTTGTCACCTGGTATAGCTTCCCGGGGGCATATCTGGTCAGGAGAGCCTGAAGCTGGTACTCAGAGCCTGGGAGGAGAGGCTGAGGGAGCAGACAGACACCAGAGCTTGAGTTAAGCGTCAAGGCTAGGGGCAACATGAGCTGAGAACTAGGAACCCTGTCCAGCCCTACCTCTGTCACTAAGGGTCTATCTGGTGGGGATAACCGTGCCCTCTACTAAATGACTGACTCTCAGCTTCCAATGGCATTTTAGAAGAAACCTCCAATTAATTTAAGTGTGAATATCTGTCGTTATAGAACTGGTAGGACTGGGCCCTAAATTCTGTGCATAAGCTCAAGCTAAGTCATTTCACAGATGTCTTATCCAGGTTTCTGAACCACACCAGGTTGTGGGCTTCATGGTACACCAGGCCTAAGTCATCTGCCATCTTCAGAGGCCAATACAGGATCATACTAGGCCCTGGCACACCATTGATGAAGGACAGCTAGTTGTGACTCAGGGAATTTCCACTCCACAAGTATTGGGTACCTCCTATATACAAGGCACCAGATTACTTTTTTTGTTTGTTTGTTTTTCAAGACAGTGTTTCTCTGTGTAGTTTTGAAGCCCATCCTGGAACTCACTCTGTAGACCAGGTTGTTCTCGAACTCACAGAGATCTACCTGCCTCTGCCTCTCGAGTCCTGAGATTAATGGTGTGTGCCACTACCTCCCGGCCAGAGTATATTTTGTGCAGTGAGAACACTATGTACTGGTACAGCAAGAACATACAGCAGAGTTTTTCTCAGACAGAAATTATCATCCATCTGGGGAGAGAGATTTGGGAGTGAGGATCTCAGCTCATTCCCAAACTGCCCGGCATTTCTTTGTTTTTCTAGTCACTATTGTCAGCAAACGTATTATCAAGAAGGGCTTCAGGTCTGATTATCTCCTTTGGTAAAACCAAAGAGAACCCAGTGTGTAAACTGTATTACCATATTCTTCCCTTGTACTGTATGTGTGCTGTATGTACTCACTGCACTGGGAGTGGTTGTTTTGAGTAGGGAGCTGTTGGGTACAGCGCAGATAGACATCCATGTCCACCAGCGACATCTGGGCAAAGACCCTTGCCCTAGTGTTGATGCAGAGTCTGCATTAAGAACCAGGATGCAAACAAACAAACAAAAAACCAGGATGCACACCTTTGATCTCAGCACTTGGGAGGCAGAGGCAGGTAGATCTCTGAGTTCAGGGCCAGCCTTGGCTACGCAGTGAGATCTGTCTCAAAAGCCAGCAAAAAAAACTGCCACTAAAATCATAAAGCCAGAGATGTAAGACCTTGTGCCTTCTTTCTCAAGCCCATCCAGCCTCCACCTGTGGTAGAATATTATTTTAAGGTGTGTGACTTTTGTTTATGTTTCATTTGTTTAACTCTGTGAAGCTGTGATTCTTTGCCTGTCTGAAACACCTGATGGTCTAATAAAGACCTGAATGGTCAATAGCAAGGCAGGAGCAGGGATTGGGGGGGGGGAGCTGCCAGACAGAGAGAATAAATAGAAGGAGACTCGAGGAAAGAGGAAGATGTCAGCGGCCAGCCATCCAGCCATCCAGCTACACAGCCATCCAGCCACCCAGCCATCCAGCCATCCAGCCATCCAGCTACACAGCCATCCAGCCACCCAGCCACCCAGCCATCCAGCCACCCAGCCACCCAGCCATCCAGCCACCCAGCCGTCCAGCTACACAGCTGTCCAGCCGTCCAGCCACCCAGCCATCCAGCTACACAGCAGTCCTCGGAGTAAGAGTGAGAATTACAGAAGCAAGAGAACAGGAAAGCCCAGAAGGAAAGGTAGACAGGATAATTTAAGATAAGAAAAACTGGCTAGAAACAGGCCAAGCTAAGGCCGGGCATTCATAACTAAGAATAAGCCTCCGTGAGTGATTTACTTGGGAGCTGGGTGGTGCCCGCCCCCCCCAAAGGGCCAAAGAGCTAAAGAGTGAAAAACAACCAACATCAACCAGTTCAGAGTACAGCAGCACCTGGAAGTCCCCAGAGAAGATAGACAAAGATGACCAGGACAACCCTGTCCAGGGCCACCCTACTTCTGTTTGCTTTTTTTTTTAGTGTCTTTTTCTTTAGACTTATTTATTTATTATGTATGCAGTGTTCTGCCTGCAGGCCAGAAAAGAGCGCCAGATCTCATTACAGATGGCTGTGAGCCACCATTTGGTTGCTGGGAATTGAACTCAGGACCTCTGAAAGAAGAGCCAGGACTCTTAACTGCTGAGCCATCTCTCCAGCCCCTGACTGTAGCCAGAACGGGAAAGAATTCAGAGGTCTGTGGGGCAGGGAGGGAGGATGGGAGAGGGATGTCCCTTCCTACAAAATGCAACCCAGGGGATCAAGTGTTCCTCCTCCTCTTCCTCCTCTTCCTCCTCCTCCTCCTTCTTCTTTTTCCCCTGAGACAGGGTTTCTCTATGACTTTGGAGGCTGTCCTGGAACTAGCTCTTGTAGACCAGGCTGGCCTCGAACTCACAGAGATCCGCCTGCCTCTGCCTCCTGAGTGCTGGGATTAAAGGCGTGCGCCACCAACGCCCGGTTGTGTTTCTTCTCTTTGCTTCGTTTTCATGTGGCTTGTAATTGTTTTCTACGGTAAGGATGACTGCTGTTCCAACAAGGAAGATTCTGAGGACAAAGAGAAAGGAGTTCCTCGTGTGCATCTCCTGTCCCCTCCCTCCCGTAGCTGCAGGGTCCATGACCTCCTTGTGAGAACTCTGCTGGCATCACTGAGGCACGAGGGGGGACAGAGGGCCCCATGAGGCAGCCTTCCCTGAGTGGCTGCCCTCTGCCCGCTGCCAGTCCTGGAGACCACCTTTACTGCCCGCTCTCCTCGGCCCTGCATTTGCTTCTCTGCATCCCCGGAGCCTCTGGTCCCTTCTGGGAAGTCGTGGTGCTGGCTTGGGATTTCACATTTCATATGTGTCTAAGTGCACTTTCAGTTTTCTCAAATCCAGATGTTGCCAGATTCCTGGAGCCGCCCTCTCTTTTCACAGCTGTCTCAGACTAAGCCCTAGCTATGTAGCAAGTTCAAGGCCAGCTTGAGGTATCTATCTAAAAACAAATCTACCTAAAAAAAAAAATCAACGAAAAGTAAAATAAAATACAATAGCACAGGCTGACTAGGTATGCCTCTGTGTGTGTGTGAGTGTGTGAGTGTGTGTGTGTGTGTGTGTGTGTGTGTGTGTGTGTGTTGAGATATGGGCTTTGTTTCATCTTTTTCACAGAAAGAAAGGCAAGAAGAATAAATGTGTAACAGGGGAAAAAAATAAGAGAAAGGATGGGATGAAGCTTCACCCACTGCAGGAGAACAGCTGATGTTAGGAGAGGAGAGACACCTGAGTGGTGGGGGGACACTTACCTGAGTGGTGGGGGGTGGCAGCACCTTCTCAAAGTTCTCTTGAAAGGAACGGAGCTGGCCGCTGTTCTGGTCTAGTGTGTGCTCCAGCAGCTTCTGGAAGTCCGGCTCAGGGATATGGTGGTGAGGCAGCTGGGTGAGAAGATACTGTCAGCAGAGTCTCTGCAGGGAAAGGGACCAAGGGTTGCCAGGACACCCACCCTCTAGTCCCAGGCATCTGCCTGCTATGTTTCTCTGCATTCTGTCCCTCTTTCTGTTAAGAGAACATCTCTCCATGGGGGTGGAGTACCTCGACCATCATGACATCAGGCATCCCTTTCCCTAAGTTACTGTGATTAGATCAAGGGAGAGTCAGGCCCCTTCTGTCAGATGCAGTGTGTGAAGGGAGGCTCAGGACATGGGTTCCTCTTCCTTCGATTCTGAGGGGTAAGGTACAGGCTTAGAGCCTTCCCTATCTTCCACCCTACAGAAACAAAGCCTACCTGAAAACCAATCCGGACAGAGAGGAAAACAGACAGGAGATGGGGAGAAAGGCAGTGTCCTGACATTACAGGTTTACAAGGCTGGGCTTGAGCCCTGGCCCCTCCTGGGATCAGGTCACTCTGTTCTCTATGCTCCAGCTACTTTGGTCTGGCTTATATTGCTTTTAACCCAGGGAGTTCTGAGCTCTCCCATGAGGTCCCCACCCTGTTAAGGCTCTCCCACACCCCCATCAGACAGCTCAAGAGTGAGACCCCACAGCCAAGAGCACGTGCAGCCCTCTGGGTTATTGCCAGACTCCCCGCTTTTACTTGTGACGAGGAGCCTTTCTCCAGGGCTGCAGAGAGAAGACTGTGTTTGCCATGCTGGCCTTGGCCCACAGGAGTGAGGCCAGGTGAATGACACACTGGATACATTCAAGGGAGGATTGGTAGCAGCCCTAGGCCATCTATACCACAGACCAATCAGGCAACACCACTCGGCTCCCACCACCACCCCCTTAAGCCCCCACCACATACATTTCCTATGACCATAACCTCCTCCCACAGGTGTCCCTAGCCCTGCCACCCACACTGCAGACTGGTAGAGAAGGGAGGAATTGGAGGACAGTAAAAGGATCATCCAGTCAGATTCACTCTTCTTTTTGCACAGCTCCGGGCCTACTTCAACTCAGAAAGTATGCCCGAGGCAGAGCCCTGTACTAAATACTGAGGGCCAGAAGAGGGGCCACTCACATCCCCGTGCCCCACCCCTGGCTGAGGGAGGACTCCAGCAGAAGGCAGGCTCTGGTAAGCACCAAGCAGTAATGTATCCTAAGCTCTGGTGGTGTATCGAGGGAGGGAGGGTGAGGAGGGGATAGTTCCCACTCCCCCAGAGCAACAAGGATTCTGAGTGCTTCCTGAGAAGACGACTCATCTGCCACCGTGTAGCAGACATTGAAGGAGGCCTGGGGGCCAGCTGAGGAGGTGTCTCCAAGCTGAAGAAGAGCTTGTAGAAGGAGGCATGGTGACACTCAAGCAGGGTTTTGGAGGGAGGGACATAGACTGGGAAGGTGGCTGGAGTGAGGAGGTAAGGAGACAGGAAGTGGGGATGAAGGAGAGTCCAGGGTGGGGCGTCAGATGACAGGAAACACAGAAGGCAATGTTGGAATGAAAAGCGTGGAAACAGCTCCCAAGGCCTGACTCATGAGCCGTTCAGCCCTGACGTAAACATTATAGAGCAAGTTGAGGAACTGCCACCAGCTCCCTCCTGTGCCAACTCAGACTTCTGAATTCTCCACCGCAGGTTTGCACGTGGGGGCTTGTGGAGAGCTCGTTGAGATCTGCCCATGCCTTCAGCATGAGTTCCTTTTCAAAGACTCGGGCACGGGGTTCAGAGTTCTGTCACTGCACAGGCAGGGCTCAAAACCTCCTGCCGTTTGGGCATCTCTGCGCCAGCCATCCCCCTCTCTGGGCCCTGGCTTTTTATTATTATTATTATTCTGAAAGGACCACATACTGTAGAGGATAGCTTTGAGGACTGAGTGAGGCGCACAACAGGAAATGGCTGTTAGCAGTACCGGTAGGCGTCCCAGCTGGACACACCTACTCCTGACTAGAGAGAAGAGACTCCCGTCTTTGTCACCATCTCCTCATCTCCCCCAGGGACAGGTCTGCTGCTGTTTTCTCAGCTCCCGAGTCCCAGCATGACCTAGGCTGGCCTAGAGCCCAGTCTGGCCTCTGTCTCTACTGAAGGAGGGAGGAGAGGCATGAGAGACATCTCAGGGTCCCCGCTGGGTCCTGGGTCCCAGCTGCCTGTCTGGCCCATTGTGTCTCCATTTCTGCCCTGACGACAGCGAGGGTCTTGCCCAACTGTGCTCTACAGCAGCCTTAGTCCCAGTAGCCTTACCAGGGCCACGCTGCTCTCTGCCCGTCGCAGCGCCTCCTCAGCAAGCTCCTTCTGGAGGACCACAAATGTGCGCAGGATCTGGCCCAGCCACTGCGTGACTAGCTGGTTAAACCGTGGGAGCTCAGCCACCAGCAGGGAGTTGAGTGCCTGGTACGTGTGCCGGGCAGCCTGCTCCTCGTAGGTCACACTGCCCACATCCAACAGTTTCTCTTCCACTCGCTCAAAGTCCAAGAGTTTGTCCAGACGCTTCTTGATCAAGTTCCGAGGGCCAGCCAGGGCTCTGGCCAGGCTGCACAGTGGTTCCCACACCAGGCCTTTCAGTCGCTGCTTCTGCAGGGAAAGGGGAGCTTGGGAGTTGGGATAGGGGGTGGCAAAGGGCAGGGGCTGGGGGGTGTGAAGGCAGGGAGCTGGGGTTCTAGGCCCCCCATTGACAAGCTGTGACTTGTAGCACACCCTAACCTCCAGCTGCCTAAACTGTGGATTGCAATCCGTGTAGGGTTGTGACTGAATACGGGTGTTGAAAAAGATTTGGTAAAAGCTTTCTGAACATGCAATGACCCAAATTACTTCTGGAAAGTGTACTTATGTGAAGTGATGGTCTCAGCATTGATGATTATAACATCGAAACGTTCATCAACTGTGAAACCATTTGAAGATGTTCTGTTGTCTAGAGATCTTGTGTCTGTATCAAACCCCTTATGTAAAAATAAATAGCACATCATCTCATTTGCACAGATTTGCTGTTACCTTTAATAATCAAATTGTATCTATAGCAAGAATTGTTGTAAAACAAATTTCCTTATGATTTATTATCAGTAAATTTGTATACCTCTAATCTATACCTGTAGATCCAGGTCACATAGAAGTTCCTCAGGTAATGAGGTCAGTGTGGGAAGGCTTCAGAAGTCCTGCTCTAACCTCGCCGAGTCTTGTCTTATAGTTTGATAATAGGGATGGTATGTAGTGTACACAGAGCGCAGCCCAGGGAAGGTTATCAATCCCTGGCACTTCTTAGTGCTGTTATTATATAAAGAGCTCGAAACAGATTTGCATAGAATGCTACTTTGTGACTCAGACCCCATCTGTGCAAATGACCCAGAAGATAGCACTCTCTGGGCCTCGAGCTCGCATTAGCAGAATGGGGCTATTAATAGTGTCTCACCCCAAAGCGTGTGTTGAGGGTAAATGAGGTCAAGAATGGAAAAGGTGGGCACGGCGCCTGGTACAGGGTGCAGCTCGCTGCGCATCGGCTGGGTTATTTTTATCAGTCTGTGCAGGAATAGCACTCCCTCCCCTACTGGCTACAACAATTGTATAAGTGCCTGACTTCTAAATATTACTCTCATCAGCTCTACCATCTGCCTATCAAAGTAGGGGGTGGGGGCCGGAAATCCCACTCACAAACTGCAGGAGGGCCTCGAGGTGAAGGTCCTTGGCTAGGCTGCAGTACTGTTCTGCAGGACCCCCTGGGATGTCCACAATCCACTCGTGAGGCCGAAAGCAGAGGAAAGCCTGGGACCAACAGAGAGAGGTGATTAGGTCCCACCATGGCCGCCTAACTCCTAACCCGCAATTCCCAAGCAGCTTTCCAGGCCCTCCACGTACAGCCTCATTACAAGCTAGCCCTGGGGGATTAGAAAGGTCTCGCTGAGCTGGAGGCCGCATCTCCTCCCCACTTTGGCACCTGTGAGCATCGCACCTATCTCTGTGCCCCCTGGGTGATTCTTTTGCCAGGTTTATGACCTACAGATTCTATTCATGTTTTTCTGTAAGCCAACTACTCCTATTCAAATCAATGCATTACAAAAGAAAAGGCCAGCTGGGTGTTGGTGGCGCATGCCTTTAATCTCAGCACTCAGGGAGGCAGAGGCAGGAGGATCTCTGTGAGTTCGAGGCCAGCCTGGTCTACAGAGGAGTGCCAGAACAGGCTCCAAAGCTACACAGAGAAACCCTGTCTGGAAAAACCAAAAAAAGAAAAAAAGAAGGAGGAAGAAGAAGTGGAAAGAGAGAGAGAGAGAGAGAGAGAGAGAGAGAGAGAGAGAGAGAGAGAGAGAGAGAGAGAGAGAGAGAGAGAGAGAGAGAAAAGACAAGACTGGGGTTGGAAAGATGGCTCAGTGGTTAAGGGCACCTGCTGTTCTTGCAGAGGACCTGGGTTCAGTTCCCGGCGTGGCAGCTCACAGCCATCTGTAATTGTAGGTCCAGGGGATCTTTGACCCTGACCCATGACAACTCCGATGGGCTGAGAAGCTGCCTTTAGCTCCCAGTTTTGTGGCTATGGGTTAGTGTACTTGCCAGCCTCCTGACTGACACACCCCAGAGTCCCTGCAGCTGGTACCTCTGCAGCTTGTGGGCCTGGCATTTGGACTCTGCATGCTTCTCACCTCCAGATTATCCATGTAAGCAGCCACATTGCTCTTGAGCTCCGTCACACACAAAGACACCCACTGGAATCTCTCCTCGAGGTCATCAAATTCCTTGTCCTCGGTCTGTAAGTCAAGTCATCCATGTGAGGGTCAGAAGATCCACAAGGGGGCAGTGTGCAGCCATATTCCGTGCCTTGGGAAGTCACTGGGGACAACCTCTCCACAGAGAATGCAGAAAGACAAAGAGCCGGCTCATCCAGCTCTGCAACTGGAGTGGGGCGGTTAAAAGGTGGTGTGGACCGCGTGTGGTGGCGCATGCCTGTAAGCCCGAGGAGACCGAGGCAGGAGGATGGCGAGGTCAGCTGAATGGCATAGCGAGGCCTCCTCTCAAAAGCAAACAGCAGTCAGACTATGGGATTGGACACTGGAGTGTGAGTCCTGGCTCACTTGCTTCCTAGATGTGTGGCTGTGGGCAGACATTTCATCTCCTGGGGGCCTCTGCCTCTCTGTGGGAAAATGAGATGAGGATGCATGCTTAGCCCTGCAGCTCAAACGCTATTGCTGTGGAAGAAGTACGCACACATCCTGAGTAGCTACTAGGAACCGTTCAGACCGGCGCTCTGCCCGAACTCCTTCCCTAGCTCTCCTATAAGGAAAGAGCCCCCAATACTGGCTGTTGAGAGTCAAGAGGTGTGCCTCATCGTGGTCCCTCATTCTCTGCTTCAGCGGCCTCGCTTCCCGAAGGTACCTCACCTTGCTTTCCTCCCTTCACCTTCCCCACCAGCACGCGCTCACCCTGGGTACCAGCCCCGCCTCCTGCTTCAGCAGCTGGCTCAGTCTGGTGGTCTTCTTGGAAAGCGTATGGGTGTTGATGCGGGCCAGCCGCTCCCGAAGGCTCAGCTGCTCCACCTTGGTGTACTTTAAAGCTGCCATGACACGGAAGAAAAGGGCTTTGTGGGTGACTGAGGCTGACCCAGGGAGCAAACAGCCCCACATTCTCCTGACTCGGCACTCTGCTCCACCAAGTTACATCTAGCAGGATGGTAAGTCCCACAGGGAAGCCCAGTGTTTGAGTCCTCTTTGCCCCGGGTATGAGTCCTGGCTGAAGAGTGCTGGACTCTAACAGGTCACCACTCTGTGGCACCCCGGTTTCCTTTTCTGTAAAACGAGGACTCCCATCTTGTAGGGCTGCTGGGAGAGTCACCTAAGATAGCAGGTGTAAAGAGGCATTTTTCCAGGTTCCCCAGCCAGTTTCATCAAGGCAAACCAAAACCACATTTCCCTCTCCCGACTCAGCCCTCTCCACATGGATGAAGAGACAGGCATGGGAGAAAACCTGAAGACCTCAGGCCTAAGTTTGGAACTTAACTCTGTTTACTACAGTCCAGTGACTACAAGCAAATTGTAGACCTGTTTACCCAGCCCGGAAATGAGACTGACTGGCTGACCTCAGCCGTTGCAAGGATCCAATAAGATACTGAAATAAAAAGGATAGCAGAATTAGCCAAGTATATATATATACTTGGCCTGGAGGTGGTGGTGCACATCTTTAATCCCAGCACTTGGGAGGCAAAGGCAGGCAGATCTCTGAGTTTGAGGCCAGCCTGGTCTACAGGGTGAGTTCCAGGATAGCCAGGGCTAAACAGAGAAACCCTGTCTCGAAAAAAAGCAAAACAAACAAACAAACACTGGACTTCGTATATGTGCATGGAAGCATCACACTCGGCCCCACAGGTATTTGTGAATTTGAGGCAACTGTTGTAAAAAGAATTAAAGGGTTAGAGAGCCAGAGAGAAGAGCACTGGCTGTTCTTCAAAGGACCTCCTTCCGTCTGGTTCCCAGCGCATGCACGGCGGCTCACAACTCTACTTCCAGAGGGTCTGACACCTTCCTCGGTGTGTGTGGTACACAGACATACATGTAGGTAAAACACCTCTACACACCCACAAAATAAAAAGGAGTACTTTTTAAAAGTCAACATGAGCTATATTTTCATTATCATGCTCTTAGTGGGCACCTGGGTTTCATTTTGCAAACTTTTCTAACGCAGCAACCTAAGAGGTGAATGCATCCCACACTTTAATACACTTTACCTCCAGCGGTGATGGGGATTAAACCCAGGGTCTTGCAGGGTGGTGGTGGCACACACCTTTGATTTCAGCACTTGGAAGGCATAGGCAGGTGATCTCTGTGAGTTCAAGGCCAGCCTGGTCTAAAGAGTGAGTTCCAGGACAGCTAGGGCTATTACACAGAAAAACCCTGTCTTGGAAAACAAAAAAATAAAACAAAAGCAAAAAACAACAACAACAAAAACCCAGGGCCTTACCCAGACAAGCAGCACCCCATCAGCTGGCCCCCATGCCAGCCCACACCATTCTCATTCTAGATGAAGCGATCTCAGGGTGAGTTTTGGAACTAGAAATGCTGCCCCGTATGCACCCTAAACACAACCCTTACCCACTTCCTTGCGCATCTTGTACTCATTGATACTGCTGTTGACGTCCTGGAGGGCAGAGGTGGCTCTCTGAAGGACAGGGTGGGCACTGGCATCCATGGGTGTGTTCTCCAGGATTTTCTGCAGCAGCAGGGGGAACTTGGTAATCCTCTGCAGAGGGATTACAAGCAAGAAACTGAGACCTGAAGGTCCAGCTTGCGGCCTGGGGGAGAAGGTTGTTGTTAGGCAGGTAAAAACCATCCTTTAGGGGACTAGAAGGTTTGGGCTGGTGACCCAGCTCTGTCACTTAGCTCAGTGTGTTATCAGGCAGTCCACTGTCTCCCGGCAGTCCTTCGTGAAACTTATGGAGTCTAGATATTGGGCAGACAGAGCCCTTCCTGGGCTTTGACTCCTGGTCTGTAAAATCCAGGGCTCTATCAGCCATATTCACCCTCTCAGCAGCAAACATGACTGGCCACACCCTCTTCCTTAGCAGGTGTGACTCAACAGGACCCAGAGACCCTGTGTCCAGTGTCCCTAGAGCATTCCAGAGACCCCTTTCCTCCACATGATCCCTTGGTGACCTCATGTGATCCCATAGCTTTCAATGTACCCCAAGCCCCCATTTCCAGACTCCCATGCTCAAGTGCCCTCAACTGTGACTTCCTATCTCTTCTCAGATAGTGTCCCAGGAACAACTCCCAGCGGTCACCCACTTGATATTTCACTTAACAAACAGGTTGTTGCTTTTAAACAGTTGGAGAGCCAGTGGGTGGCTCAGCAGGTAAAAGTGTTCGAATCAGAGGACCTGAGTTTGTCCCCAGCTACATGGAAGAGGGAAGCGATTCCCACACGTTGTCTTCTGGCCGCCACACACACACACACACACACACACACACACACACACACACACACACACACACACGCGCGCGCGCGAGCTCATGTGCTAAATAAATATAATAAGTGTAAAATTTTAATCTAAAAATGCTTTGAAAAACCACAGGAACATAATTTTTAGAGTATGTGGGGAAAAGTCACAACTCCACTTAAATAGTTTAGCATAAAAATAAAGATACTGATATGTTAACTCTTTCTCATTTAAGGTGGTAGCTGTGAGTATATTCTTCACATCACCCTCGTGTTTTTTTTTTTTTGTAAATTTGGAATTTTAATTAGAAAATGTTTTTTAAACAGCACTGTGGGTGGGACTTTTACACTTGGGTATACGACAGACTCCGCCTGCTGGGTGTCTGAGGTTTCATCAGGATTCCCCAGGTCAAGGGCACCTGGGGAGCGGCTACCGCAGGCGGGTAGAATTCCAGCCCCTAACCGGCTCAGTGTGCCTCCTACAAGACTCACAAATGCTCCTAGGGGCCAGTGGCCAACACCTGTAAAGAAGCCCTCAACTCCTCCTAAGGGAAAGCCTTCAGACCAAATGTTCTGTAAAGAACTGCTCAGAGGCCAAGAACAGACATAGCAGGTGGGAGCCCTGGATGGCAGTGGGTGGAGGGTGCCTGCACTGTCCATCTGCTCTCCCAAGGGTGTCCTGAGCTCAGATAACTGTGGGCAGGCATTTTGGAAACTCCATTCTAGGCTGACTGACATTCCATGGGAAAGAGCCAGCTGCCTCCCAGGGACAACTGTCACCTCAGTACAAATCAGAGGCAAGGGGCCCTGAAAGAGACGCCTGCATTCTTTTTTCTTTTTTCTTTTTTCTTTTTTTTTTTAATGTCATCAGGCAGTCAGTGCAAAATGGTGGAAGCCACTCCTCACATCTGTAGCCTTCTTAAAGTTAATTCTTAAAGAAATATGCAGTCTCTCCTATAGACGATAAGAATGAAAGGACAGCCTGGGAGGCTGGGGGAGTGTGGTAAGAGAGGGATTCTTACATTCTCTGGGGATTGTCACTGGCTGAGATCTTGGACAGTTAGGCAATTTTCAAAGTACACAAATCCTTTGCTCCACCAACCCCAGCCTAGACAATATCTACCCACAGAAATCTTGGCTCAAGCAAACTAGGATAGAGGTCAATTGTTCAGCAACTCCATGATTAAAAAAGAAATCCACTGGAGAGATACCTTGCCCAACCTAGACACAAGGCATGGGAGGTGGAGGGTGCCTTGGTCCTGCCTCAAAGAGATGATGGGACAGACTTAGACTTCCTGGGGGGAGGCCTTACCCTCTCCGAGGAATAGATGGGAGGTGGGGGAGAAGGGATAGAGGGAGTGGGGGAGGAGAGGGGAGAGGGGGAACTGGGATTGGAATGTAAAAAATAAATTAATAAAAATTATTCTTTGAGAGAAAAAAAAAATCCATCAGGCAGATGGTGGTGGTGCACTCCTTTAGTCCTAGCACTCAGGAGGCAGAGACAGGTCTACAGATCGAGTTCCAGGTCAGCCTTCAAAAGGTGCAGAGAACCCTTTTCAAAACAACAACAACAACAAAAATCCATCACTAAAAGAATGGGTGAGTAGAGTCTGTGAGTTGTCCTGGAAGGAACACGGAGGAATTATTCACACTATCATGAGGCAATAATCACAGCTGCAGTTAAACGAAAGTTCTAGAATAGCGTAAAAGGCTCTTTAAAAACAACGCCCCCTCTTCTCTGCCTCCCTCTGTATCCTTCTATCTCTAACGACACAGAAGAAAACTGAACAGAGGATGGTAACCCTCAGCCAAAGGAAAATGGACTTCATGGATTTGAGTATGATTTGAATATTACTTTTATATTTAAAATAAATACAGCTAGCTGATAAGGGAAAACAGAAGTTGTTTTCCTTCTGCAAACACTGATGCGCCAGACAAGCCTCCTAAAACTTTGGCTTCCAGGGCTGACCCACCTCTGCCAAGCAAGCCTCCTTTGCCACAATACAGAGCTCCCTGCCTGGTCTGTTTCTGTCCTAAGGGGTGGGCTATCCTTACTGCTAATCCAGTTGAAGGTGAAGTCATCAGTACCCACTCTGAAATCACAGGGAATCTCGAGGGCTGTCTTACTTTTCTACTACTGCGGTAAAACACCATAACCAAGACAGCTTACAGAGCAAAACAATTAATTTAGGGCTTACAGGTGTAGAACAGAACCAGGATTGGGGGAACAATGGCACGGCAGCAGAATAGCCCAGAGCTCACATCTAGATCCACAGATTGGAAACAAAGAGAGAGCTAAGGGGGAAATGGCAACGCCCTGCATACAGACCTGAGCTACAGAGAGTAGCTTGGGGGTCTCACATGAACACTCGGAGCCTGAACAGGGCCTCAAAATGTACTATGAGTTCAAGAACCAAACTATTTCTGGGACTCTCGGACATTGCCAAGTCATATGACACTCACTGGGCTTTTTCCACACTACCTTTGATACGTAAGACTCAGGCTATTTGCAAGGGTATCATCCATTCTCATTTCCCTACCTCCCTGGCGGGTGAACCACAACATTATCTTTAGTGCCTCATGCACAGGGAAGTCAGGGCTGCCCGCCCTGTGCGTTGCCATCCTTGGGTACATTCACCCTCTGCTCCTTCGTTTTCTTGTGCTTCTGAAGCAGAACAGCTTCAGGACTTTCCCTGCCTCCAAACTAATACTACACATAGAGCAAGCTAATTTTAGAGCGCCTGCTCATAGCTTCTGGAGTTGTGGTGCCTGAGTGCACACTGAAACCCACATTACTAGAAAATGCATTCCTCTTCTTCCTACTTCACGCCAATATAACATTAACTATAGCATAGATGGATGGATGGATGGATGGATGGATGGATGGATGGATGGATGGATTGATAGATACATACATACATACATACATACATACATACATACATACATACATGGTACATTTTCCATTTTGTTGCAGCATAATAAGTACACTTACTGACAGGACTGAGAACCGCAGTGTGACACAGTTCCTGCCTGGCTGAGATGACTAGAATAGCTGGGACATATTTAGTGTCCCTTGTGCCATGTGTCTACACTCCACCAACTGCTGTTAGGGCTCCCACCAGACCTACAAGGAAACTGGGTTTGAGATGTGAAATGGCTCTCACAAGGAGGGGCTGAGCCAGACCTGCCACCATGCAAGCCCGGCTCCAGACCTGCAGAACCAGGACAAACAGCGGCCTCACTGCCACCCAGTGATTGCTTCTAGCATGGCTGGAGAGAGCTGAACTCATGGGAAGTGTCTCACCTAAGTCTCTGCTGCTTTGGAAAAATGAAAGGCTCTGGCCAGAGGGGACTCACATTCCCATATGCAACATATGCAGATGGTTTGCCAAGGATAATGCCTTCAAATGTTGTGTGACTTTGAAGCTCCCTCAACCAATGCTGTCCATTTCCGTAGTCCCTTCTGGACTGGTTATAAAGCTGATCTGAATGGCCAAGAATTCCAGTGGTTTGCACCCCCTCACCTGCACTTGAGCCCTGTGACTGTCAAGTGAACAAAACAGCGCACAGGCCACGTGCCCAGACCTGAGCTGGCTCTGTGTCTCAGGTACTTGGAGGAATCCAGCAAAATCAGCAATGCTGACCTGCAGTTGATGGTGGATCCATGGGAAGGCTCAGCCAGGAGCAGAGTGTCCATTTGCTGAGCCCAGCTAAACTGATACTGTGCAGAAGTGTAAGCTAAATAAATGTCCTATTCTTAGTATTTTTGCATCTGTTTGTGATGTATGTATGTGGGCATGTATGGGCCACAGCACGCGTATGTGACCAGAGGACAACTTATGGAAGTCTGTTGTCTCCTTCCACTATATTCTGGAAAGGGAACTCAGGCAGTCAGGTCGGGAAGCAGGCAAGTGCCTTGCCTTAGGGTTTCTATCACCGGGAAGAGACACCACGGCCACGGCAACTCCTGTAAAGGAAAACATTTAACAAGGGCTGGCTGGGCAACTCCTGTAAAGGAAAACATTTAGCGAGGCCTGGCTGGCTCACAGTTTCAGAGGTTTAGCCCATCATCATCACGGTGGAGCACGGAGGCGTGCAGGCAGACATGGTTCTGGAGAAGCAGCTCAGAGTCCTACATCTCTCGGGCAACTGGAAGTGGTTGTCTGAGACCCTGAGCAGTGTCCTCAGCATACATGGGACATCAAAGCCACCTCTACAGTGACACACTTCCTACAATAAGACCACATCTACTCCAACAAAGCCACACCTCCTAATAAAAGCCATTTTTTTCTTTTCAAATCACCACATGCCTTTACCACTACCAGCCCAGTAAATGTTGTTTTAAGGTATTGTTTGGGTTGGTTATCTGACAGTTACTGACGGCAACAATCTCCTAAGGCCATGCCACGCTCTACACAGGGTCTGTTATCTCCCTTATACCACAGTCTCCACCCCTCCCGTTTGTCCCACTTGGGCTCTGGCTTCCCCAGTTTCTAAAATCTGCCTCTCTCCCATAGAAACACCTAATGGCCCCCGCAAAAGCCTACATTTTCTAAACCAATGAGAAGAAAATACCTTTTTTTTCTGTTTTTAGGATCTAGGACATGGAACTTGAAAAAGAGACTCTGATAGAAGGAGGGGAGTGAAAAGTGAGAGAAAGACAAGGCAGATGAGGAAGGCTGGTGGGCTTCACAGGAAATGACATCACTGCACACACCTGCTTTAACACTCTTTCTGGGGCATAGAGGAGCACCTGAGGAAGGTAACAGTGACTCCTCTGTCCTCCCTCCACCACGCTGGTTTCTGAAAATGGACCGTCAATTTCCACTTGGCAAGCTTTTTAAATTTTGTTTGGGGGTTTGTGGTTGTTTCTGGGTTTCATTGTTGTTGGCTTTGTAGTGTTTTGTTTATTAAAAGGATCTTGCTATATAATCCTGGCTGGCCTGGAACTCTCTATGTAGACCAGGCTGACCTCAAACTCACAGAGATCCTCTTGCCTCTGCCTTCTGAGTGCTGGGATTAAAAGTGTGCGTCAACATGCCCAGCCACGTTTTGGATTTATGAGATATGGTCTTGCGCCCAGGCGAGCCTTGAACTCATGGCAATCCTCCTGCCTTGGCCTCTTTAAAAAACATAAATAAGACCAGCCCTCTACATGAAGAGCTAGAGGCAAGCAATGGCTGCCAAGGGAGGAAGAATCTCCTGGTGTGAACCCCCTGACGAGGCCTCATCCTGACCTAACATGCGTCTTAGGGTTTAGTGACACACTGCTCCAGAAAGTCTGCGGGAGACGAAAGACACCTGATGCTGACAGGACTATACATGGACACCTTTACCCGGGAGGTTTTAATTACCAAAATTGTCCATACATATCCCCTCTGATGTATCCATTCCACCCCTGAAAAAGTACCTTGTGGCAGAGTAAGATGACTGTGGAAACTGAAAAAAGGGCTGTGGCCCACTTACAACATTGAGAGAATGGAAACAAACCAAATGTCTACCCACAGACATGGGTCATGCCACCAGTATGACCACCTGGAGGAAGAGTTACGCTGAGGGTCAAATGACGAGGAATGGCATGCGTTTACTCGTAAGGACCTCCAGGACGGTGAGAGATGTAACTGGCTTCCGTTTACAAGTTCACCCAGGCGGTGGTGGCAAGACACCTTTAATCCCAGCACTCAGGAGGCAGAGGCAGGCGGATCTCTGTGAGTTCGAGGCCAGCCTGGCCTATGGAGCAAGTTCCAGGACAGCCAGGGCTACACAACGAAACCTTGTCTCAAGAGACAGAGAAAGAGAGAGAGAGGAGAGAGAGAGGAGAGAGAGAAAATAAGATTAGATATTTGTAACCACTGTGCATGTGAAAAAGAGAAAATATAAGCGCTGGTACGTGAAAAAGAGCACTAGCTACAAAAATCCAAATGGACAGGAAATGCACAGGTGCACGAGAAGGTGTGGAGCCTCGTTTGAGACCACTGAGGTATGTGTGAGCACTGCTTGGCAGTAAGGCCTTCCGAACTGAGGCCTAGCTGCTGGCACAGGCCCGAAGCAGCCTGAGCCGACCCGGGCAGGATCAAGACTTGGCTGTCTCTGGACGTGTTACTCACACGGCTGCTTCGATGATGCCCTGGATCGACTTCTGTAGTTCCGGATCCTTCTGGTATGCCTTGACCAGCAGCAGGGCCTGGTCGTAGTTGGCACAGTAGATTTTATAGACTTGTTCAAACTCCTCTTGGAATTCTAGGAACAAGTTACCTGATGGCGAACAAGCGGCAAGAGTTATCCAGGGCAAGTGCGCATGTCCCTTGCTTGTGCGCATGTCCCTTGCTTGTGCGCATGTCCCTTGCTTGGAAGGGTAGGTGGGGCCTGCTCTGTGGTGAGGCTGCCAGCATGTCACTATGTACAAGCAACCTAGCCTTCCTGCATCTGTTTTTCATCTGTTTCATAAAGTTGCTGCATGGGTAACAGTCCAGGTTCTGCAGTATTGGCTGTCCTGGAATTCACTTTGTAGACAAGGCTGGCATCTAACTCACAGAGATCCACTTGCCTCTGCCTCCCAATTTCTGGGAATAAGGTGTGCACCATCACCGCCAAGCTGAATCCAGGTAATTAAACTGTACGTCATGACCCCTCGTGGGGCTGGCTGCAGACCTGAAAGTGGGGTCTAGGAAAGTTTGGGAAGAGCAAAAGGTTTCCAAACACAGGGCACCCGAGATTAGTTCTAAAGCAGACCTGTAACGAATCTGAGGTGTTTCTGGTCACACCCACCTATCATGTTGCAGCCTTGGTTCTGAACACACAACATTCCCACTCTGCCCTGCAGATGTCATCATGCCACAACTCCAGTGAACACTGCCTGCAACAGCTTGGCTCAGACTGGAGACTACTGCATGATAGGCACTGCGGAGGAATCCTCACTGTATGCACAAAGTATTCTGCTCTTAGAGAAACATAATATCAGGGCTGGAGAGATGGCTCAGCAGTTAAGAGCACTGCCTGCTCCTCCAAAGGTCCTGAGTTCTATTCCCAGCAACCACATGGTGGCTCACAGCCATCTGTGATGAGATCTGGTGCCCTCTTCTGGCCTGCAGGTGTACATGCAGTCAGAACACTGTATACATAATAAACAAGTAAATATTAAGGGAAAAAAACAACAAAAAACCCAGAATGTTTAGTTAAGGAAAACAAAGACTTGTGATATTTGTCTACTATCATTCCACATGTATCAAATTAGTGTGTCTTTGGATTACATTGTGTTGGAGTACCTGACTTGTCTACTTGAGAAGGCTAGAGAAATAGCATTTGCCATCCTTTCAGAGGATGTGAGCTTGGTTCCCAGCACCCATACTGGGCACCTCACAATCACCTGTAACTCCAGCCCCAGAGAATCCAGTGCCCTCTCCTGGCCTCTGGGGCACCTGAGCACAAGTGACATATATACACACACAGGCTCACATACGCATAAATAAAAAATGTATTTGCTGCTTGACTTGAGTTTCATTTTTAAAAATTTAGTTCCATTTTTAAAATTTGGCTTTGAATTAGTACAGAACTGGCAACAAATTTTTTTAAACGACCCTGAATACTTCTACCAACCTTTGACCTGTCTGCCTCTGCCCACTGAGTGCTGAGGAATCTTAACAATTGCTTTGTGCCTGTTGTAGTTTCCGTATTCATTTCCCCAGGATCAGCAGGTTGAACAGCCTCACAAATTAACGGAACATTAGAAATTTTCATGTTCTTTCCAATTGAAATGTTATTTTCATCATTTTTTTTAAAAAAATCACTCGATGGTCTACAAAGCGAGTTCCAGGAGAGCCTCCAAAACAATACAGAGAAACCCTATCTCGAAAAACCAAAAAAATAAAAATAAAATAAAATAAAAAAAATCACTCGAAGCCGAGCATTGGTGGCGCACGCCTTTACTCCCAGCACTCAGGAGGCAGAGGCAGGTGGATCTCTGTGAGTTCGAGGCCAGCCTGGTCTACTGAACGAGTTCCAGGACAATTGCCAAAGCAATACAGAGAAACCCTGTCTCAAAAAACAAAACAAGACAAAAAAATCACTCTCCTGCCCTACAGTTAAATTGTGTCGAACATTTCTTTAAAGAAAAAGAGTGTCTTATTGAACCCGTGAGGACTTTTCTCACCATTGTCATTCCCTGAACGATACAGTATAACTACCTTCTATATGTCGCTGACACTGTACTAAATGTCATAACTGGTCTAAAGACAGTTTCAAGTACACACAGGAACTTCAGGAGGTTTATGCTAATACTGTGTCACTTTATACAAGGGACTCACTTGAACACCTGGGGGAGGGTTGGGGGTGTCATGGGAAGCCGTGGTTCACAGATACCGAGGGATGATTATGTGTTACAGATATCAAAGTGAAGGCAAACCAGATCACAGACTGGGTGGTGGCTGGGGAAGAGGACGTCTGTCTGAAGAAGGGCTTCCACGGATAAAGTGACCATCTGCCAGAGAGCAGAAGTAGCCAACCCCAGGAAGCTGGGGGGAGGGACAACCCCCAAGCCTGCGAATGGCAATGGCAAGGCCCAGAGTCAGGCAACTCTGGCCCAAGGACAGCCACAGACCCTGCTGAGTCTGGAGCAGAGCAGGCCAGGCGCAAAGGAGAGGAGACAAATGGGGCACTAGAGCCAAGTTGCATGGGACATCAGAGTAAGTGGGGTGCAGCCAGGCACCCTGCTTGTATTCCAATGGTGGCAGGAAGCCGTGGGAGTGGTTTGAGCTGGGGGGGGGGGTCTCACGTCAGTCAGCTTCATTTCAAGAGTAGCTACAGTAAAGCTAGAACAGCACGGAGGAGATGAAACAGACCCCGTACAATATCCTAAAGTGTTCTGCGTCTTTAAATATGAAACCATTTACTTATAGAGGACAGGTGGAATGGGAATGGGAAGAATAAAGGAATAGGGTGGTACTTAGGGATAAGAGACAAAGAAGACAGCGTTATCAAAAATAAGGTTCGGGTGGGGATGTTGCTGGAGAGTTGGCTCAGTGGCTAAGAGCAGTGGCTGTTCCTCCAGAGGACTCGGGTTCAATTCCCAGCACCCACATGGCAGCTCACACCTGTCTGTAACTCCAGTTTCAGGGTAACTTCACACAGGCATACATGCAGGCAAAACACCAATGTTTTCTATAGGCCTGACAGCGCTCTAAAGAAATAAAATCTATTAATTAAGAAAAATTAGGGGTTAGAGAGATGGCTCAGCCGTCAAGAGTACTTACCACTCTTCTAGAGAACTGGGTTCGATTGTCAGCACCCACACGAGGGCTCACAACCATTGGCAACTCCAGTTCCAGGGGATTCAATGCCTTCTCGACCCCGCAGGAGGCACCGGGCACTCAAGTGATGGGCAGACATGCATGCAGGCAAGAACATTCATACATATAAAAATAAAGGTGGATCAGCACCAGGTTGAGACTAAACTAGGAGGCACTGTGGTTTCCATGCATCCTCCCAATTCATGTGTGACAAGCTGGCTCCGGGAGGGCCCTGCTGCCTCCGAGAAGCCTAGCTCCCCTTTGCTGCTTCTCCCTGGAGCCCTGGAGCACAAGCCGAGGACAAAGTCGAGGGAAAGCAAGGCCATTGGCTCGGGACTTGTGCTTACCAATCAGGCGCGCTTGTTCCTCTTCCCCGTGGCAGGCTGTCTCCTGCAGCCCCTGAAGGAATCGGCCACTCACTTGGATGATGTCATCAATGTTTGAGAACAGGACATCCAGATCTCCTGGTGGCAGCTGGAAGCGACAAAAAAGGCAGAGACTGGAGACCTGACAGGGAACAGTCCTGAGGGAACATCTTTAGGGAACACCCTGAACATTCACTCATGCTGTCTGGGGGCCTACTGCTGGTGGGAAGACTGAACAATGAAATGTTAGGAAAGATATGGGAATCTTGTGAGTTAGTCTACAAGAAAATGAGACATCAAGTCCAGCATGGCTTGGGGGCCTTGGGGGAGGTGGGGGGTTGCAGGTAGGTGGTGGTTAGCTTTGTGATTTGAATGTTAAATGTTCCCATAGGCTCACATGTTTAAACACTTCTTCCACAGCTGGGGGCATTATTTGGAAAGGCTATGGGACGCCTTGCTAGAAGAAATAGGTTATTGGAAGCTGACTTCAAGGTTTTACCGCCTGCTTCTTGCTCCCTTTTTGCCTACCCATTACCTCATTTAATTCAATATTTTTTCCTCTTGCAGAGGACCCAGGATCCCAGCACCCACATGGAGGCTCAACTCTGGCTCCTGGGATTCCCACATCCTTTCTGGCCTCCTCAGCCATCAGGCACACACAGGGAATACACAAACATACCACACACTCATATGCATAAAAATAAAACTATAAAATCGAGTTACAAAAAAATGCAATAATATTTTTATACTGTTTTAAGTTAGTTTACTATTTTATTTTGGGTTATGTTCACAGCTATCCTTGGCCTCGTATGGCCAATAGGCTACAAGTTGGACACATCTAAGTCATTCAAGGCCTTACTGAAGGTTTCATGATCAAAAACTAAAGTCCTGGGGTTTACATCCAGGCCGGTCAGGCTCCCACCCACCAAGTGGCCTTTCCAACAAGCCCAAGCAGGAATAAGAGATCTTGGAGGCAGCCCACACCTGCTCCTATGAAGTAGATGGTAGGTCTGCATCAGTACCTGCTGTAGGCGGCCCCTGATGTCTGAGGCACACAGTCGGAGCATGTGCAAGTAGGAGACCTCTGTATCGATGAGCTCTCTGATGGCCAGCCTCTGATGGAGCAGTGATCTGTCCTCAGAGGCCCTCTCCTCTGGCTCAGGACTCTCTGACGTACAGGAGGGCTCATCTGCTCCAAAGTCAGCCATGTCCACGGATTCTGGGAAAAACAAAACAAACCATTCACTTGTAAGGTAGGTCTCCTCATTGTGTATTCTGGGAAATGCTGTACCTAACTTGAAGACCAGTCATCAATGGCCTAAGACATTATTTGCAAACAGAGTCAACTGTTTATTAAACAGTCGATGAACTGTTGGTATTTGTGGGCATGACTCGACAATATGAGAGGACAAGCGACAGCTTGGGTCATTGCTGACATTTGAAGTTAATTTCCCAGGACTCAGTCAATGTACTTCCCTTAAATTTCTTTTATCCCCCCACCAAAAAATTTGGCCCGGAATCATTCATTCATTTAAAAAATACATTATGGCCGGGCGTTGGTGGCGCACGCCTTTAATCCCAGCACTCGGGAGGCAGAGGCAGGCGGATCTCTGTGAGTTCGAGGCCAGCCTGGTCTACAGAGCGAGTGCCAGGACAGCAGCCTCCAAAACTGCACAGAGAAACCCTGTCTCGAAAAAACCAAAAAAAAAAAAAATACATTATGTTGGGTTCATAGGCCATGCCCGTGTAGATATATACATGTATTCTGACCACATTTTCTCCTGATAACCAGTAATCTTTCCCTTTCATGGCCTCCCCTTTGTTCCTATATGAAACCTAAGACTCCACGAGTGAGCAAAAGCCTGTGATACCTGTTTTTCTGAGATCCACTTAACATGATAGCCCCAGGAACATCTGTTTTCCAACAAATGACACAACTCCATTCTTCCTTAGGGCTCAAAAGAAATCCTGCAGTATCTAAACCACACCATTCCTCAGTGGGTGGACATGTAGCTTGTTTCTATAACTTAGCTACTGTGAATTGTGCTACAGTAAACACTGATGTTCACGTATCTCTGGGAGGCGCTGACTCGGAGTAATGGTGAATGCATAGCTGTTGACCTACATCTCTTCTGGATCAGTTAAGTCCTCTCCCCTCTGCTCCCCATGGTTCTTGGCTCCCACCTTCAGTCACAACATAGAGCCCATGGCCAGGTGATTTTCTTTTTCCTTTTTTTTTTTTTTTTTTTTTTTTGGTTTTTCAAGACAGGGTCTCTCTGTGTAATTCTGGCTGTCCTAGAACACACTATGAAGACCATGCTGGCCTCACACTCAGAAATCCGGCTGCCTCTGCCTCCTGAGTGGTGGGATTAAAGGCGTGCGCCCCCAACGCCCAGCTTCGCCAGGTGATTTTCACAGGTCCCAGGACTGTCTCTTCATCGATGCCACCCATTCACATTTGTCCAGGATGCGTTTCCGGGTTAAAGTCCCTAAAGCAGTCATGGCACTCATTCCCTGATGCCCACAGCATCCACGGCTCCCTGCTCCTCACCCTCACCCTCCCCTCCAGCCAGGAAGAAGGCAGTGATTGGCTGTACACCCCTGTGCTTCGGCAGCTGCCGTGCCCCTCCCAGCCTCCACCCTCCAGCACTCCTCCTTTCAAAGCACGTTCCTGATCCTCGCCCTTCCAGTCTGAAACTCCTACCTCCTCATTGTCTCTGGATCTTAAAGCCATATATAAAGGCTGATCATGTGAACAAGATGACCTGAAAAATCTTTCTACTACCAAACACTTGGAGATGTCAAAACAGATGTGACTTGAGAAATCTCCAGGGAACTAAATCAGAGCAGGGGTGAGTGAGCCCGTGCCATTGCGGCTCACAGTGGACAGGGACAAAGAAACAATCATGGTCAATCTCAGCCAACTGGGAACTTACCAGGAAACAAGCTCCTACGGTGAAACGAGGAGGGGGGGAATTCACCCACCAAAGAAATAAATCAAGAAAGAGAAAGATGGAAAATATTGATTGACATACTGGAGAGGAGCCAAAGGAATCCTCAGGGGAGGGAGGGGGGATACTAGAGTTGACAGCTGGCTCCGAGCAACTTCAGAAAGTTCAAAAAAAAATCTTGAGAACAGAGTTATTAAATTATTATAGGCTTTGGTGTTTAGTTGGGGGCATTTACACAGACATTCCATAGAAAACGAAGAAACCAATAAAATCAAAGATATTTATAGCAATTTCTGTGCAAAAAAGACAAAAGACTCGTGTCCCATCTCTGGAGGAAGAAATATTGTGCACAAAGGGCCTGTGCCTGAACAGACCTCCTGGGGTTCCTTTGGTGGATTCTCACAGGCTCATGCCTCATTCTTCCCAGTCATATCTCAACATAGGTACCAAAGTCAGGTAGCTTCCCAGCCTGGAGCCTCCATGAAAGGTTAAAACCATGACCAAATACACCTGCGGTGATCTTTTCCTGTTGATCTGTTGGCAATTTATTTCAGAAGACTGAAATATCAAACTCAAATATCGAAAGTTGTCAGGTCTGAGGACAAATGCCTTTTACCCACTGAGCCAACTTGTCAGCCCAAGTTCCATTTTTTGTTTGTTTGGTTGATTTTTTGTTTGGTTTTGTTTTTTCTTTTTCTTTCTTTATTTCCTTTTTCTTTTTCTTGTCAAGCCAAAATAGTCTTTATTCAAATTTAATGGAGACAGGGGTCACTCACTATACTTTGTGATTGGTTTGGTTTTTCCAGATAGGGTTTCTCTGTGTAGCTGGCTGTCCTGGAACTCACTTTGTAGCCCAGGCTGGCCTCAAACTCACAAAGATCCACCTGCCTCTGCCTCCCAAGTGCTGGGATTAAAGGTGTGCGTCACCACCACAGAGGCTCTAGTTACATTTTTATAACATTGATGCAAACTGAAAATTAACTGGAAAAAATGAGATTTTTTTCAATTTTTCTGTAAATTAATAATAGTAATAATAATCCAACTTATGAGCTGGATCTGGAGCTCAAATTCCCGAGTGTGGTGATAAGAAACAGAGGCTGGACGCGAGACTCTGGCTCAGCGAGTGAAGGCACATTCCCAGGACACACACGGTGAAAGAAGGGACCCAACTCTTACAAGGTGTCCTCCAGCCTTCACATGCACACAATCAATAAATGTAAATTTTAAATGGCAAAAAGAAACACAAAGAGAAGTTATGGGGGGGGACCTTTATACAATGTTTCACATGGCCAGTTGCAAAATTACATAAAGTACAACCAGGGGTCTGCTGACATTGGTAGAGCCAAGATCTAGAACATTCCATGACAAATACCCTTTATCTGCCTTTTCCTCAAGGCTCCAATTCTTCCTGGGCACAGTACTCTGAAAACTAGCTTCTCAGTTTCTTTTAAAATGAGTCATCTGCTCAGTCACCCTCCTTGCCTTCCACCTGGTTTGAGGCAGGGTCTTTGTTGTTTAATTCTAGGCTTTGTACACCAGGCTAACTGGCCTTTGACCGTCCAGAGATCCCCCTGTCTCTACCTTCCATCCACTACAGATGTGCTGGCATTCCCAACGAGTGCTGTTCCAGCTTCCTGCGTGGGTTCTGGGGGTGACATGAGGCCATCGGGTGTGCAAAGCCAGTGCCTTTTCCTGCTCAGCCATCTCTCGGGTTACACTGTCATGTGCGTTCCTAAGATTCATGCTGTGTGCCCAGCAGCAGATGGCCAACAGAGAGCAAACTCAATGGCATCTTAGGAGGTTCCTTGTCTCATAATATCATGTCAGGCAGGCGGATATCTGACTTCGAGACCAGCATTGGTCTACAGAGTGAGTTCCAGGACAGGTTCCAAAGCTATGGAGAAACCCTGTCTACAAAAACAAAAAACAAACAAAAAAGTCATGGCAGGACTTTTCCTTTTTCTTTCTTGTTTGAAACTTTTGTCTCATTTTTTATTTTAATTCTATTATATATTTTTTCTTCTCTCTTCTTACTCTACAGGTCCTTTGTGCATACGTTATGGCTTCCGGTTTAGTGTTTTTATAGGATTCCTGAGTGTGCGAATGAGCTCTTTTCCCTCTGTTTGCTTGTTTTGTTCTATTCCAACGTATTAGCAGCTTTCCTTTTTTTTCTTATTGTATTTTACTTTATTGCAGTATATTTTATTATTGTCCCTTAGAAACTTGTTTGTTTTCTAAAGAGAGACAGGAAGGGGGTGGGTCCGGATGGGAGGGGAGGTGGAAAGGAGCTAGCAGGAGCAGAGGGAGGGGAAATCATAATCAAGATGCAGTTTGGGAGAGGAAAAAGAACTCTATTTTCAATAAGAGGGGAAAATATCATACTTCCAAACAGGCGTATGACTTGATGGCTCCTGCTCTGTCTTCTTGATCCTAAAAATGATTCATGTGAGAGGGACTGTGAAGGCTTGGAGCCCAGGCCTAAGGCCAAGAAAACCTAATTCCAATTGTTCATCGTTTTGGGTTTTTTGTTGTTGTTATTTTTAGACTTCTTGAGTCAGGGTCTCCTGTAGCCCAGGCTGACTTGAACTCCCATAGAGCCATTCTTGGCCTTGACTTCTTGGTCCTTTTGTCTCTACTTCTCAAGCATCAGGGTTACAGGCAATGCCCCACCACACCCAGATGCTGATATGAAGTTTTGATTCTGTGACCAATTTGCTGGCTTTCCCAGTATGCTTATCTAGCCATTCTTATTGGGTTCTTCGAATGTCTAACAGAGTGCCGAGAACATAATAAGCTCTCGGTCTGTTTTTTGCTATTGCTACTATCTTTTTTATTAAACTAGAAAGATAATATTATCATTGACCAAGTGGACGAAAAGCTATGTAAGGATATTTGCTGATTGATTTAGTTGCAAACAATCAAATTCAGGTAAATAGAGTCAGGACTGCTAATCGTGACTAAAATGATTACTGTCGTCATCATCATCATCATCGCTGCTAATAAGAACTATGAGTTATAACCTGAAATTGCAGCTATTGCCCCAAAAATAGAACTGAGAGATTGAGAGAGAGACTGAGTGCTGAGCCTGTAACTTAATCAGGTCATAATGGAGACTGATTCTTTTAGGGTTTTATTTTCACAACAGCCAATACATTTTTCTTCTCTACCTCCACCTTGGCTTAAGGCTCTCTGAATTGGATTTCTGCCACTTGATTAAAACAAATGGTTTTTTAGCCCTTGGAAGGACACAGGTCACTGGGAGTCAGCA